AACGATTTGAACGACGTGAGGTGGTCGTTAAAATCCAACTGTCCTTTGGACGCCTCTAAGGCTGACAACTTGAACTTCTTCGGAGGTTCAACTCCAAAAAACTATAGGAAGAAGGCGTTTTACGACTGCCTTTGTACTTCAGTCAGCACTGGTCGGTTTCTCTCCTCCACGAGGCGGATTCAAGGCTATCTTGGTATAGACCGTTGTCAGGCTTTTCTTACAGATGGATCACCCTCCTCCATTGTTTGCTAATGGTTCCCCTTGAGGGGGGTTGAGTGCTCATAGTCGTGCTGGCTCTTCTTCTGGAATTGGGGTTGTTGATAGGGTGAAAGCTCTAAGTACTTCTATGAACTGTCATGACATCTGATTGGTGATCTGAGTTCTCAAATATTACAGGCCTTGTTGAACATATTCTTCCATAAATTCCCGGGTGCAGACTAGATCTCCTGCATTCCTCTAATTGGACTGTCCCAGTTGTTGTTGTTGGGCTCCTCTTCTTATTGGTAGCATGTTTCCACGCTCACTACATCTTAACGTATGTTGAATAAAAAAATGTCTGGGAAGCACACCCAAGAAATAGAGTGTTATGCTAGGAAGTGATTGGAGAGAGGAGAGGAGAGGAGAGAGAGAGAGAGGGGGGGGAAGTAGAGAACAGTAAAAAAGAGTTTAGACTTTATTCATGATATGAATCTCTCCTATTTATAGGCAAAGATCATAATATTAGAAAAGTACATATTGGTCCCCTCATCATTAACCTTTCAAATGGATTGTTTGGTAATTAAAGAGTTATTAGCATATATAAGACTGGGGAACCGACTCAATCGATAATATTTTGCTGACCGTCAAGTGAGCCTTAACTTGATCGATATCAAATCCGAAAGAGAGCCGCCAATCAATCATCCTGAGTTTTGATCTCCGCCCCATGAAAAATCTCCTGACACGTTACGCTGATTGCTCGAACAAGAAGCTTCTCTTACCAACATCCAGCTCAAGACGACCGTCAACATATATGCTCGATTGTCAGTATCATCCTCCTAACTCGTTCATCTGCTTTGATATTCATGCTGACATATTTTTATATGCACAACAATATTTTTATTTTTACATACATATCACCTTCCCTATGCATCCAAAAATGAAATTCACTTTTAGAAGGTAAAATGGTACTTTTTTCACGTGATATAAAAATTTTGCGTGTTACAAATATGAAAAAGATAAAGTTTGGATGTTAGATACATAAATACGAAGAAACAAAGTGTCGTGTATGTTAATGCCCCCATTTGAAGTTTATTATGTGTAAATCACTTACATGGTGGGAATGAAAGTGAAGCAAACAGCACTATCCATTTTGGTTCATTTATGATACTTTGATAACGACAATAACAAGCTACCATTATAATGCAAAAATAAGATCTTAACGCCTTTATTAGTGCTTATTTTTTTCTTGGTGCGTATGACATTTAATGGAAAATATAGTCAACTTATTTGTGTTCTTATGTAGTGTTCATAGCGCATGTGAATATAATATGTTGTTGCCATTTGGTGACTATGATAGATTGTAATGTCATACAGACCACCCAAAACTCGCTATTTACAAATCAACCGCCCTCTTTCATCCATTTTTTAAAATTCTCACTTAAAATTAAAAAAAATTAGAGTAAAACCCCAACTCATATTTTTTTTCATTTTTTATCAACTTCTCAATAGTTTATCATGGCACGTGTAAATACTTCTATTCGGTTGTTTAAGAAGATCAAATGGACGGTTAATTTGTAAATATCAATGTTTTTGGTTGTCTACGTGTATAATTATCCCTAAGAGCTATCAAGAGGTCACATGAATGTGCAAATAAAAAGGGCAGAAGGAAATGGGGCACTCACATACACACCACACAATTCTTATGCATTTACATATCAAGTATCTAAAATTTGATATTTACATACATAACACCCAACTTCTTAACATTACATCAAAAATATTGTTATTACTAACTTCTAAATGTAAAACACACATTTTCATGCATAGAATTTGACATCAAGTGCAATAAATATAAATATCAAATTATAGATGTTAGATATGTAAACTCATAGGAATTGTGAGATATGTATGTAAATTAGATCAATAAAAGAGCATTCATAGATATTAGTAAATAAAAGAGCATTCATAGATATAAGTGATAATAAATCACTGCAAAATTTAATCATGTTCACTAATCATCATACAAATATGTCCTAAATTCTTGAGAGTGGAGGTTAACTCTTAAAATATGAGTTAATTGGTGTAATTTCACATATGTGAAGTAAATATGGTATCTCTTTTTTTATCCATTTATAATGAATGATTGCTTTTAAAGGAATAAATATTTTGATATGACATTTGCTCATTATCACTACTTTTGAATGACCTTAAATTTGATCAAAAAAATTTCTCTATGTGTCAGTTCGGCTATTAAGATACTGATATTTTAGATTTTAAAATAAAATTTTATAAGTTAATGTATTTGATTCCTTAATAAAGCATTATTGTTGATAAGATATCTCATTCATGACTATCAATTTTACGTCATTTCATTCCTTAGGAATTAGTAGTTGAAATTCTCAATTTGTTAATTTAAGAGAACACTGTCTACCAACTACTTCACAAAGTCTTTTAAACTTGTAATTCTATTAGATATATTTATAAATTTAAATAAATTTTATACCCCATGAATGCTTTGAATTTATTTTTTAATATTATGATTTTCAAGTGAATGAATCCAAACCACTATAATAAACTGATTATCCACTTATTATCAGATGGGTGTTAATCATACAACAATAATAAAACTTATACAAATACATTAGCTCCACTTACTCAAGTCAGGATGTACTTTGTTTTCTGCACGCATACATATGTATTCACTAAAATATAATACCAATATTCATACTCTAGGTTCTATCTTTTATCCTTTCTAACAAAAACTCAATACACTCTTCTTGGTTTTAGAGACTCAAGCTTAATGGTATCACTCTACCATGGCAGAATCATAAACAGCTTCCACCAATATAAGAACCAATGATGAATCCAATATTCTCATTACTGGTGATATCCCAATCCCTCCCTATTTCAAGTTCGTCATGTCTAATATTAGGAACATTATCTTGACTCAACTTAGCACTAAAAATTATTCCATATGTGATTCCCAAATCCTGAAACTCTTCACTTCTAACTTCTTAGATTGGTTTCTCATCGGTTCCCTCACTTGTCCAACAAAAAATATAACCAATAAAGTTGATCTACCTATTCCCAACCCTTATTATAGTCAATAGCACCTACTCAATCAAAATCTCTTTATTGTTCTTTCCTCAACCATTTCTCCACCATTACTACATTATGTTCTCAAACTCAACACTTCTCTGACATTTGGCATGTCATTGAGCATCAAATCCAAGCTACAAATTGCTCCAGGGTCATTCAACTAAAAAAAAAAGCTCCTGATATCTCCATGAATACCAAAACTATGCATTTATATCTATTTGATTTAAGACTCTAGTGGAGAATCTCGCAACTATTTTGAGCCCACATTAATAACAAAGATATTCAGCTCTACATTTTAAATGGTTTACCCCCATCATACCAATCATTCAAAACAACAATTCAAGCAAAACTCACTCCAACTAACCTTGATGACATTCTCTCTTCTCTACAATAAATAGGTTAATGTAACAACTGAACAAACTAGTGAACTTTTAGCATCTGATTTTACTCTAGCATTAAATGCATGGTCTAGTTGTCACATTGTGGTCACATCCCACAGCCCAACTGGATATGCATCCACTCTAGGCAGATCAATTCCAAATTTCAACAAAGGTACTCCCACTCCCTTAGTCCCTGCAATCTGCCAAATCTGCAACAACAAAATGTCATACAACTACTTTTCGTTAGCACTGTTCAAATATGTACTCAAAACTTCCTTCACAGCCTCCAACTCAACTGCTCTCAACAACATTACAATCTTTCCAAATCAGAAATATGTTATCAACTCGGGAGCCTCAACTCATTTGACTTTAGATCTCTAAATCATTCGTCGACCTACTACTTACACTAGTCATGATTAGATAGTAGTTTAAGATGTGTTGTTGGAAGACCTTAAACTTGATGTGGATATTAGAACCATACATTTTCCACTATCTCCTTTCAATTAACAAACTCAAAATTGACAACAATTATTTTGTCATCTCTACAGAAATGAATACTCCATGCCGAACGTGAATTCCCAAATGCTTCTCCCCAGAGGACCTAGCACCAATGGTCTTTACATCATTCCATCTAATTAACCAAGATAATCTCATTCAGCCATCTTCAACAATCAAGACACAACATCTATTTGACATAAAGGCTAGAATATCCACATCGCTCGGTGATCTCATATATCTCCAACAACAACAAAAATCTATTTACTTTCTCTCATTTATCCTTTTTTAATGCATGTAATTTGGCCAAGTACCATAATTTTTTTTAAATTAATAGACAATAGTACAAATGTTAAAATTTATTTATATTGATGTATAGAGACCTTCACCAATTCTCTCTAATTAAGACTATCAATACTATGTTTTGTTTATTCTAAAAAAAATTCCAATTTCATCCCAGATACAAAGTAACACACTTTAGATTTGTAGTGAATGTAATGGGAACTGAAGATAGAGTTTGAATGATGAGAATTGAGCGGACTATAATAAACACCTATCTAACAACTAAACATTCATATTTACTTATAATAACATTCATATTTTTCATAGCACATCTAAAATATTACTCTTATTAATTTTTTTAAATTATAATACATATTTTTTTTATGTAAAGATTTATAACTTCAAAGTGTTATAATCATAAATACCAAACTCAGAAATGCTAAATATGTAGAGACATAAAAGTTATATGGCATGTGAATTCCACATTTGCGATACTAACCCAGCAGCCTAAATTAAGTGGGCCGGCTGAGTCGAAAATCCAGATCATCCAATCGGCCCAAAGAAAATTTTCTGCGCTCCTAAACCTCAAACACCTCCTTAAACCCTAACGGGGGAGAGAGAGCGAGAGAGCTGCGTGTTCTCGTTCTTCCTTTCACCTGCGAGCAGCCATGGCCTTCTCCATAGTCCTCCGGCGTGCCACCACCGCCGCAGCGCGATCTGCGCAGACATTCTGCTTCCAGAATCGCCGGATCTACCACTTGGTTTCTATCCGTCCATTTCTCATGAAAGGAATCCTTTCGCGAGTGGAATCAAGACAGCTTCCCTCATCTTTTGCTTTCTCTCGCTTTTCTTCGTCTATTCAGAAGAAGCCAGAAGCTGATGTTGAGCTTATCCGGATCGTGGAGTCGGAGATTGGCTGCGCTAAGGAGGAGTGTGGACAGGTAAATCCATCTATTCGTGTGTTGGTTATTTAAGCGATTGGATGAATTTTTAGTTTTTTTTTCTTACGGAGAGCTTTAGTTATTGCCTTTTTTTTTTACATTTGTGGTTCGCTAATAAAATGGCGTTTTGTAATTGCTGGTTTTGGTATCTGGTGAATTTCGGTGCAGCGGTGGAATATTTAATGGGTTAATTGTTTGAAGTGCTGCTGATTGGTAATTAAAAATGTTTAATTGTTTAAGTTTTATTGATGGGGTAAATTTCTTTGCAATTGAAATTTTAGAGCCTTCGAACGAGTGTTGATTGGGAAGCCTAACTTCATTAATTGTTTAGAGTAGATTTATTTTTTTATTTTTTTGGATTGATGGCTAACTTCATTAATTATTTAGAGTAGATTTATTTTTTATTTTTTAGGATTGATGGCTTTTTTATTTTTTAGGATTGATGGCTATCATAATTACAAAGCTTTAAATGAGGTCTATCATAGAATTGTGAATGAAAACTTTCATGAAGTTTTGAATAGTGGTTATTGTAAAAAATTATGATAGATGCTACAAAGCCTTCAGTGATGTTTAATGCTTAATTTTATAATGTGAATATTTCATTATATAAATTCATGTGGCATTTACAAGAATTTTCATTAAAATTAGGGAAATAGGAAGAGAAAGGAGATGAATGTCATCCATGAAATAGAAGAAGAATTTTTTTCGGTGCTAACAAATTGAGTTCTTTGAGTTCGTTAAGAAAGAAATCCAATCCTCATGTTTGCAATAGATGGCTTTATTTTCTTTGCAACTAGACGAAAATGTATTTTTATTAATATTTTTTGTTTTTTAAGGAGGATCTAAATATGCTTTTTGCTGATTTAGAAAAATTTTATGATAAAGTTCGAAGAGAAATATTTTGGAGAGTTCTAGAAAAGAAAAATGTTGGTATTGTTTATATTCAAGTCATTAAAGATATGTATACCAAAGCTATTATTTGTGTTTGAACATAAGAATGATTGACATAGTATTTTCTTATTTCAGTTGGATGATATCAAGGATTAGTTTAAGCCCATATTTTTTTGCTTTAGTTATTAATGTTCTTATTGAACATTTTGGTATATGCTTTTCGTTGATGATATCCTTCTTGTGGATAAGACTAGGAAGAGAGAATTCAACAAAAAACTTGAATGATAGTCAACTTTAGAGTCTAAAGGCTTTTGTTTGAGTAGATCTAAAACTAAATACATGGAATGTGATTTTACTAGTACTAGATCTAGTGGTGAGGTTGCAATAATAATGGGTGATCAAGTCATTAAAAGGAGTGAACATTTTAAATATCTCAGGTTTATATTTCAAAGTGATGGTGATATAGATGGGGATGTTATTAGTAGAGTTCAATTCGGATGGTTGAAGAGGAGGAATGCATTGGACCTATTGTATGATAAAAAAATTTCCCTTAGACTTAAAGAAAGAAAAATTTTATAAGACAATGGTGAGACTTGCAATTTTTTATGGCAGAGATTGTTGCCTTGTAATAGATATGCATAAAATTAATTGAAGTGTTGCCGAGATGAGAATGCTCAGGTTGACGAGTGGCTTTATACTTGGAGACAAAATACAAAACAAATATATTCGTGAGAGGGTCGAAGTAGCTCCAGTGGCATACCATATTAGAGATAGCCTCCTGATTAGTTTGGTCATGTTAAACACTGACCGTCTGATGACCCAGTTAAGAGAGTAAATGTTTTATATTAACTTATATTAAGAAAGATAGAGATAGAGCTAAAAGAGTTGGGCATGGTATATAAAAATGATCTTAATTTATCATAACTAAATGAAATATGAGACTCAATAGGACACAATTGAGAAAAAATATTCATTTAGCGGACCACACTTAATGGGATAAATACTTGATATTGTTGTTGTATTTCTAATTTTGCACGAAGTATAATACCTCTTGTAATTTTTTAGAATTAGGTGAATTATTTGGCTTTTATAAATGCATGCTTATTTAATTACATTTGAATAAGTTTAATTTCATTATTCATGATTTAAGGAACATTGATGTAATTGTTGATGGTAAATATCAAGCTCTGTTGTTTTTTTGTTATCTACCTCCATTTTTCAAATATATTTTAGATATCATATTATTATGTGATACAATAAGCTTAAGATAATGGTAAGAATTTATTTCTTTCAAAGTAGGTGAATTTTAAACTCTAGTGAAATGACAAGTTACTTAACAGTTTATTATAAATTAGAAATTGATTCTATAAGGGAGAAATAAAAGGAATGTGTATAAAGTTTAAATGATGGAAGAAATAAATCTCAAAATAAATTTTAAATGATTATTTGCTTCTATTACAAAAGGAATGTGTATAAAGTTTAATTATTTTATTTAAAAGGAGATGTTAAGAAGTAGCAGTTGATCTTAAGAAGGATAAATCAAGTATTATTGCATATTTTTTAATAATAAAATTGAAGATGCTCTTTTGATGGTTGAAGATAATAGAATTAATGAGCAATAGATTTTAGACTCAATATGTTTTAATCACGTGTTATAATTTAGTTATATTTTTCACATACAGTCCAAATTTTGACTGCTATATTTATAAAAGAAGCAGAGCCATATGCAAATTGGACGTTCTAACATTAAAAAATTGAAGGCACGTGATGATATAATTACATCATTGGTTGGAGTCAGGTATGTATCAAATTTAAAAAAAAATAATAATTTCTTTAAGCGCTTGTTGTGTTACAAACTATAGATTTTTTGGTGATATTAAAACCCTGAAGATGTGTTAGAGTTTAATAGTTGTCTTAAAGGTGCATAAAGGGAATGGGCTCATTGTGTTGCCAATTGTCAGAATAGTACTAAGAATTTTTTTTTTCAAATTTTTTATGACATTTATTATTAGAAAGTTTTTTGTGAAATCTGTTGCTGATGCTTCTCAAAATCAAATGCAAATAAAATTTGTCTTGTGAGCTCGTCAAAATAATAGATTGGCATTATATGATAACTAAAAATTCTGAATGAAAGTGCAATATAATAAAATGCAAAGTTTGACAAGTTTGCTTTGCCTTTGACTGACCGAAGTTTTGTAAAGCTTTAATTAACTTTTGCCACTAATGACATGAACATGCTGCAAAGAGATATATTTCAATATAATCATTATCCCTTATTGGTTTTATTTTTCCTAACAAGTGGTATTATAGTGATGATTTGGCTGGGATCAAATAGTTCATTCAGTTTGCGAGTCTCACATGTTTTGGTACTTTCCACCATGATTAAAGTGTATAGGAGTGGGTTACTCATTATAGACTTTGCATGGTAGAATGAGTTTTCGGTGCATGATAATTGGGGATGTTTAAAAAACATTCATTTGAGATATAAGGTCGTCAGGGACCCCTGATATGGAGTTTTATAAGAATCATAATGCAGTGAGTTTAGCCCAACAGCAAATAAATAAAAATATTGTAGTAGGAAAGTACAAGTAGTTGGCCTTCATTTTTAGGTTGAAGTTTTTGGGTTGAATATAACTTTGAACATTAATGCTTCAATAAAATTTTACCTCCTTTTTATTTCATACTAAATACTTCAATGTGACATCTAACACCTGAACCAGATGCCCGAAATCTGTTTGTGAAGTTGATATTTTATGATATTTAAATTTACACTGTTGGTGGTGACACATTTTCTTAATGTTTCTTATGTGAATTCGAAGTCTAGGAATAGTAACCGAATTGAAAGACTTCCATACATACCACTCAATTCCTATGTATTTACATAGCTAACAACTAAATTTCAATTTGTACATTTATGCCACCTTACCTATGCATGAATTGGTGTATTTCACTTTTAAAATTAAATACTGGTATTTTTATTCGAAATAAAAGATTTGGGTGGTATAAATGTCCAACAACAACTACTACTACTACAAGCCTTTATCCCGCTAAGTGGGATTGGCTACATGAATGTTTTTTCTCCATTGAGTCCTATTGGGTGTCATATCTTCATTTAATTCTATTAAAGATCATTTTTTATACATTATGCCTAAGTCTTTTTAGGCCTACCTCTGTCTTTCTTAACATAAATCAAATCTAAAACATCCATTCTCCTAACCGGATCCTCAGATCGTCAATGTTTAATGTGACCAAATCATTTAAAACGACTCTCGAATCTTTTTGCCATAGGTGCTATGCTATGCCAACCCTTTCACAAAAAAATGTTAAAAAATAAAATTTAATTGTTAGATATGTAAATATGTAGGCATTTGATGGTATGCATGTAAATGCCCCATCCAAAGTTTTATGTATCCTACTAGAACATGTTTTGAACAATCCTGGTAATGCAAAATGTGCAAATTGCAAAGAAAAAACATCCTTTTATTAAGTACTTGCCATTTGCATATTTATGCACATTTAAATATGCCTGGGAGAGTGAACTCATAAAAAAAAACAAATCATGCATCAATTTTGTACTCACAAAATAATTCACGAGATATCTGCTGTGAAAATAATGAGTCCTACTAAATTTGAATTGATTTTAACAAAAGCAAATTATTTTAAGATTGGAAATTAAAATTTAAAAATAGCTCTACCTTGCATAACCTGAAGATCAAATTCGAAACTCTACTTGTAAACCTTTGAAAGTTTTTTCCTCCATTGAAATGAAACTAATTTTGAATAGAAAGAAGTTAAGGCAAATTGTTAGAACCTCAAGACCATATGTCAAACTTAAAGACTCAATATCCAATGTCATACTTAGTATAAAAATCAAAGTTAAACTTCTAATAGATTAGTCAAGCAAATGTTTTATAATTAATGATTAAAAGTAATCATCAAATTAGTTTGTTTACTTAGTTCCCAATCCCCACTTCATCAACTTCTTCCTCTCATTTCTTTGAAGTATCATGCTACTCGCCTTATAATTGTAGTTCATGTTGGACGAGACAGCTAACAATGTGCATCAATAGTGTAAAAATAGCTTGTGTTATAGCCTATAAATAGCATAA